GCTGTAGTACTGACCAGACTAGATGATTATTAAATCATTATTTCTGCATAATAAGCAAGTATAATTTATTAAGAGGTTGAAAGGAATAAGTTCTAGCATACCTTGGGTTTTTTGATTCGTGTTTCTGGGTTGTTTTACGAGTCTAAATTATTGAGTATAGAGGAATTTAGAGATTTTAAGTGTTTGGGGTGAGATACATGGGAGTTTATAATTGAAAATTGAAGAAGAAAAGTCAAAAATCTCTTTTGGCGGGCCCTGGGGCACCGCGCCTGTTAGAGCCCCTCAGGGAAGCCTCTATCTGACAGGGCCTAGTGCGCCACGCCAGTCAGATCCCCTTAGGACACCCTCTGTCCATCAGGCTCTAGCGCCCCACGCCTGTGAGAGTGTCACAGTTACCTAGAGATCCCATTTCCCCCCATTCTTTTGTACGAGTTCCTAAGTGGTGTACCTACAATTCCAAGTTGATTTCAACATTTAAAGTACACCTAAAAAATCATGAAATCATCCATAAAATGAGATCATGATCCTTTAGTCCATAATCCAATTCAAGGAAATTTAAGATCAAAGTCAAACAAGTTAAGAGTCAAGTCTAAAGGTTAAGAAGCAAGTCAAAGTGAGTTCCTAGAGTTTGCAAGAGTCTTTAACAAATATTTTAAACTTTTTTTTAAGGCTGAAGTTACAATTTAAGAAAGAGTAAGGAGTTGAGTTCATTCTCAAAACTTATAAGGGGGCTAAGTAATCCCTAAGACTTACAAATGTTTTCACATTTAAACAAGTAAAGAGCCTTCAGGCTAGTTTTAGACAGAAGCAACATTTTTATGAAATAAAGTAAGAAGGGAAACTGTGATTTCCAAAAGAACTATTAAAGCAAAGTTTTGAGCACTAATCTCAACCCACAAAACAGTATGTTTTAAAAACGTAAGAGCGATTAGATTTTTTGGAGTAGTATTGATCACCTATGTGGGATGCAAGTTCATATTAAGTGTCGTCTCCATGAAAACCATGTAGCCATCATGGGTAGAAGAGGGCCATACTTTTTAGATGAACCATTTTCACAGTATACTAGTGGATCTATTAGGCAATTCATGTCCTATACCCATGCAAGGTTAGGATGGTCGAGTAGCGTAGGCTGAGTAACATTGTATCATCACTATAGCTCTTTGGTGATGGTTGTCAGTTAGCGAAGAAACTACATAAATTATAGTATTTTTTTTATATACATCAGTTAATAATATTTTCATATGCATTTCAGAGTTATGTTGCATCCTTGTTATACATACAGAGTTGACATCATGTTTTTAAACAACTTTTCTTTATATTGCACATTGCCTTTAAATTGTTTTATATTGAAATGAGTAGTTATTCATGAGAACAGATTCAAGTAAGTGTCTCTCCTTACTCTTTCCTAGCATAAGTTTGTTTTAGCTTTCCCACTCGCATATTCGCACATTCAATGTATTGATGTTAGTTTCCCTGCATCGTATTGTGATGCCAACGCAGATAACTACGATCAACAATTGGTGTGTCGTTCATCCAGTGAGCAGCTCTAAGTCATGGTTAGTCTCCTTGCATTCAGAGGACTCCATTTTATTATTTTTAAGACATTTTCAGTTATCGAATGTTGTGGTGTTTGTCCCAACATTCATCTTAGTATTTTAGAGGCTTCATCGACAGATTGTGTTAGTTTTGGTTTTCTTTTCATTCATTTGTAAAGACTTAAAGTTGCCATGTTGGCTAATTACTATTTTAAAAGCTACTCTTAAGTTATATCTTATGTTTGAGTCTTTTGCTGAGTTAAGTAAGCCATACCAAGGGTTCGCTCATGTCACAACCCGAAAGTAGCCCCTAGAAGTTAGGGAAATCCTTTGGTCGGACAATTGCATACTTGACCTTTCGAAGGTCTTGTACTAGTCATTTGCTATTATTCATTACATAAGACATGAAAAGTAGTGCGGAATTATAACTTTTCACGACATTTATCAGAATAACAAAATATTTTATAAATACTAAAGATTAGTCTCGTCATCACAAGCAAACATAAAGACACGACTTAATATCTTAGGGACACAACACTTTACATTAAAGGAAAATACATAAGAAGTCTTAATAGTAGAAACTAAAGAAATAGAACTATTCCCTTGAATACATGAAGACATACTTAGTCTTGAGAGAGTCAATTCCCAAGCTTGCTTCTAATCTTCAACTTGCCTCCAACCTATACATATAAAGTATATAAAAGTATGGGTTTAGTATAAAGAATGTACTAAGTATGGTATATGCAAAAACATAGAAAAAGGGAAATTTAAGTAGAAGTATCTTTCATGCCATTTAAGTAAAATTTTCATGAATATAGAGTGAAATGACATATAGATCATCATTTAGCACATAGGAAAGGACTTCCATAATTTTATCATAAAATACAACTTTGCAGTGAACTCCAAAATAAGTATAGTGAACTCAACTTTACAGTAAACTCATTCCTACAAAAACACAGTGAACTCATTTCCTTTGAAGTTTCCTAACCAAGTTATCCTAAGACTGACTAAGGTAAGACATCAAGGAGCCGCCCATACACCCCCTTCAATACATACCTAAGGGATCCTTAAGACTACCAACATAAGCTTACCTTGCACGGGAAACAAGTCCACACTCTATAACTAGACATTAGAAGAACATTCATGCATTAAGGACTTCACATAGGTGCCCTTCCCCATATGGACTTACAAGTTACACAAAGTGCAATTTAGTTCTCCTTGAGGATTCCATGAGGTTAGGTACACCACATTAATCATTCATAACTTCATTATACAAGAAATAAATTTTACATGTTTTCTTAACATTAGACATCAAGTCACATAACTTCATTTCATAATAACACATTCATACATTCATCCAAAGAGATACCAAGACTCCCGTTTCAAGTGTCTATTTGTGCAATGGATAAATAGAGTACCATACCACACCAACCCCAAGTATAACACTCGTTAGAAGACTTATTTCATTACATAATAACAAATTCATACGTTACGACAAAGGCACAAGAAGACTCTTCTTTCAAAATATCTACTTGTGAATTGGATAAATAGCGTCCCATACCACCACCTACCCTAAGTAGTACACTCTTTTAGGAGACTTAGTTATTCGTTCTTTTGTGGTGTTAGCTTAACCGACATAGGACATGAGAACTAGACATGGAATCCCGATATTAGCCCTTATTGGATGAGGGATCCCCACTTTTCTAGGTAGGGTCATTCTTTTAGCTTTTACATGGCTTCTCCAATAGCTACACCTATGTGCGTGCAAAGTTAA